AATGGGAGATTCAGTAGGATTATACCCCTGTTTCTGTCAGTCATTGTATGAACAGTGAACACATGGACAGGTAATGGATTAAAACATGAAAGATTTTGAAAGTAACCATGGCCAGGTAAGATATTTCTAAAGGAATATAATTTTAGGTCCTTGATTGCTTGTAGGCATTGTCCTTGATCGTAAACAATATCTCACTGAGTGACTATGTTCCATGTGCATATGTATTGTTGTAGAACACAGAGACCATTATTGTGACAGAGATATTCATGTGTGAAGAGTGCTACAGCATAAACAAATGCGTAGGAACAAATTAATTCATAATGGATGCTGCTTCTGAGAGATGCCCAATACTAATGGAAACCTTATACACTGTACATAAAAGTGTTAAGTTTAGTGAGAGTGGATGTTATATGTATACTTCAGTAATTTATTACTCAAGATTGTATTAATTTAAGGCTTTGTTTGGTTTCTCTATATTTTTTTACAGACGACTTGATGTGATTATAATTGCTGCACTAAGTTCATTGAACAACCTGACTTGGAAGTTGAATTCTGCAATCCATCCTGTGTGTAGTTAATATCATAGCTGCAAATGATCGTCACAGCTACACTGTATTACATAATAAACACATTATATTAACTACTTAAATCAATATTTTGACAACTCAAAATGAGAACCAGGTGCAAGATTAGTATGTTAAGAATAAGAGAGGGTTGAGAATTTTGTGACATTTGATGGACAGCCTTGCCACTCGCAACGTCCAGTAAGGTTAATTTGTGCAGTTAGTGTACATGTAAATAGTGCTATTTAATTTACATTTCGACCATCGATAATATGATTATAACCTTTTAACCCCAAGAGTAGCAGCACTGCATTTGGTCGGGGAAACAAGATTCCAGTTTTTCTTGACTAATAATTAATAAGAGGTTTTGGAGATTTACGTGTCAGGCTTTGGTGCATGTAGGATATTGATGTATAATTTGTTTATCCATTTTGCTGTAGTTAATAATTATCTTATTGATATGTCAATTAAAAAATATCTTGGGCTCAGCTGGCAAATGCACCTATGCCTCATAACCTTTGAGTGCATTTTTTTGGATAGTGCAGGCAAAATAAAATACATGTACATAATATAACTTACCGCTACTCATGGCTTACTTATTCGTATTTGGTATAATTTAGTAATAGCATAATTGATAATTAATGGCACCCAGGCACAGTTTCTGTAGTCCACAGTCTTAGTCAAGAAAAAACAACAAATCATTCTTGACTGACACATTATTGAAATTGAATAATAAAATTATTTTTGGGATCCTGTGCAACCATGATCAGCAACAAAATATTATCTTTACCATTTATGCCAGAGTGATTTTGCTTATACTTGTACTTTGAGAGATGGTGCAAACCCTTCCAGCAGGAAGAGAATCCATAATTATAAAAGTACAGATTGCTAATTGTATCTTTGGGAGAGCTTTTCCCATGAGAAAGGGGAGGATGCTCTCATATTTGACATAAACGGGGATGTTTTACTGAACAGGGTATAGTTTTAAAGTTTAGGGTATAATTTTATAGCTGTAAAGCAGGTTCTATGGCATTACTATTTAAATTCTTGGAAAGGGTATTTGTTTGTTTTTAGCCTGTGTACTGTAC